TCCCTTACATTCTCAACCCAACCCATCCCATCCCTTACATTCTCAACTCAACCCAACCCATACCATACCCTTCTTGAAATCATTCTTCACTTGAGGCGCAGTCAAATTTGAATTTCCTGGAAAGCGGAATTTACCATGCCCTCGTATAATGCCATTCTCTTTGTAGAGCAGGAACTTGTCGTGTGGAATGCACCAGACAGGAACTACAACACGATGTTTGCGTGTAGATTCTGCCTTACAGAATTTGACGTATAGTATCTGCCGTACAGTACATACTGCGCACCGCGTTTGTGGTATTGAATTCGCGATATTACATATGATATGTGGCATTCGATATATGAGTTTCACCATATAAGTTCTGTGCTGCATTACCTACCGTGCTTTGAGAACCCTATGAAATAGTTTGATAGTTGGAACTGACCACTTTTCTTTTTCCTGAATTTTGTCATGCAGAAATTTGGAAGCTAATTCTTTTAGCTCCAGAAGAGTATCTTTAAGTTAACGGCTGTTAATAGTTTAGCCATACACCTGTATTGTCCACCAATTGAGCCGCTTAAGAGCGCATTTCCATTTTTTTACCAAATGTCTGCATGGTTATCTCACTCTGACAATCATATCTTCAAGGGTTTGAAATGGTATGGTAGTAAGATATTCGATTTTTCTAGAAAACCAGCCACTTTTCGCAATTTGACATCGGGAAGGTTTTTGACCTTTGTTCTAAAAAAGCTGCACTAGAAAGGTTCAGAGCGAAGTTCTAAGTCACTGAGAACTTCTTTTTCGAATATGGTAGGATAAATTTCATTACGCTCATCTTAATATTAGTAAACACAATTTATTTCTTACGAAATTTTCACGGTAAAGGTTTTTTCAGATAATTATAAACGTTTTCTCTGTCTTAAGCAAAAGTATGTCTGGTTAACTTCATATACAAAGAAGAATTCTTTCGGCTTTAAATAAATCGAAAAACAAAGCAAGAGTATAATATCTGTTTGTTACTGAATGCGTACAATAGCCATCCCGTATCTCGGTGATGGTGGACGCTGCGTTACCTTATTATCATCACTACAGAATTTTCCTATACACCCCAGTATACAGCAGCATCCGACGATCGATGCAATAACAATACCGGCTACTGCACCACCACTCAGACCAGAACTGCTATCTGCATTGTAATATATTCTTGTAGTTGTTCTTTTGGTTGTTGTACGCCTAGTAGTTATAGCTTTCAACATCAGAGAGGATGCATTGTTTGCTGTACCATGGGTACCAGATAAGTTAATGATCGCCACCAGGAGGAAAATAGCAATTATTAGGACTAAGAGAAGGCATGCATAAACATTTGGGGAAGATAGACTTTGAAATATTTACCTGAAAATTTTGGAACACACATTTGTCTCTCTCGATCACTCTTTCTCTCTCTAAGAATTATGTTTCAAACTGCAATCTGTTTTTTGTTTTATCTTTCATCTGAGACGGTATTATATAACACTTAGAGATAAGAACAGTTGTTTTCTTCGTTTTTCTAAAGAAATATATGAAGACGTATTACTTCCTCGGTAGATTCCAACTCACAGGGTGTGGGTGTGGGTGTGGGTGTGGGTGTGGGTGTGGGTGTGGGTGGGTGTGTGTGTGGGTGTGGATGTGGGTAGTGTGGGTGTGGGTGTGTGAGAGGGTTCTTTCTTTTACCCACACCCACACCTACCCACACTCTCACCCTCACCCACCCACACACCC